TTTTTTTTGGTGAACAGTTGTTTAGTTTTAATCTGTGTCACTTTTTTTATTTTTTAAACAACGACATTGCATAGATTTATATATTTTTTTTTTATTTTTGTTTCATTTGATCTTTTCATTGTTTTTGTGTTGTTTTTTTTTTTATATGTTTGGTATATTTCATTTGAACCAGAAAACTTCCCTTTTTTACGATTTAAAAATTGCGTGTTTGCGCAAGGGTTGTTTGATATTAATGCAAAATTGTGTGGCTATTTTTTTTTTTTTTTTTTGTTTTTTTAAGCCTCTTTTTGCGTTTTTTCCCTGTACAATAATGTAGGGAATTGTTCCTTCCGTTGCGTTTCATTTGATTCGATCATTTGATTTAAAGTGGATGCATTTCCACATCATCATATAGTTTAAATTGTTACATTGCTACATGGCTTCTTTGCCGCTTAGCTACATGGCTGCCAGCTCATTTGTTTGCTTGATCGTTCGTTTTTCCGGTTCGCGCCTTTTATGCCATTTTTGTAAACATGATTTCGGAACAAACCATTGCAAACATACACATGTCTCACAGCACAAATATGTAACACACTTTTCTCCTTCGTTGCAAAGGAGAAGCCTTAATGAACTCACACATTTTATTTTTTATTTTTTTTTTTTTCCTTTGTCCACTTTCGCCCTCCTGGGCATTTAATGCAGGTGGACACTGACCCATTTTGTGTTATGCCAGACCTTTTCAACATATAATTTGTGTAAATGGGAAAATATTCATCCCGCTGTTTTTGTACAAAGCTTTTGTTGCTGAATATGCATCGAGCTTTTTTTCTTTAACCCTTTGTACTATATTCGCAGGTTGGTTAAATTTGTATGCTCATTAACCGCTGTCCTTCTCCCGCTCAATTTTTATTTTTATTTATTTGCGCTTACAATGTGCTCATATTTTGCCGTTCGCGTGAGGGGGATGTACATTATCAACCCAGTCGTAGGATAATTCTTACTCATTCATTCAGTCTTCAGTTTTATTAAATTCATCAAAGGGGGAAAATATATTTTCTTCCTTCTTTTTTTTTTTTTTTTTTTTTTCACTTGTCTACATGCATGTTTGTCTCTTTTCATATATGGTACGGCTATCCCTCCTTTTTTTTTTTTTTTTTTTTTTTTTTTTTTTTTTTTTTTTTTTTTTTCCCTTTCTTGTCCATTTATTATTCATTTGTAAGCAGATAATTCGGTCACCTGTCTCTATAAATGGCACTTCTAAGCTGCGTCCACCGTTTTTGCAAAAAATGTAAAACAAAGACAACGCAGGGTTGAGGAAGTGAAAGAAGGATACGAGGCAAAGACGCAAAGGGAAGCAGACGCACAGAGAGGATGGATGCATCCCCCCAAAGTGCGCCCTCACCGGAAAAAAAACTCACCAAAAATATAAAGAACGACACGGGGGATGTACAAATAAAATGAAAGCGCTCGTGCCTTTCTACATGTCCATCTGTCTGTTCGTAATATTTGTCCTCCTTAACAACACCTCCTTTTACCTCCTCCCTTGTGAGGCCTTTCCATTTGGGGTTTCCGAAAATAAGTACATTCAGGCTTTCCCCGATTTTCACCTCTTTTACGAGTATGTGGACGTCAGAAATGATGACTCCCCCTCCGAGTTGGGCGACTCGCACAAGGAAGGGAAGAGAAAAAGGAAAGTGCTTTTCCAGTCCAATAAAATAAATGTTCATAAAAATTGCCACCAAAGTAGCGATGCAAATCATGAGCAGGATTATGAAAATAATTATGAGGAGAACGGCTTACATAATTACGTACAGGATTATTCTGATGGGACTTGTGGAAACTGTATCAGTACCGATGCGAAAGGAATTGCAAGCGAAGTCTTCCATCAGAGGTGTACTGCAATGGGGTCAAAAATTTATGAACGCCTGAGTCAGATGTTCAGTTGGTGCCTCCCCGATTGTGTCAAAATTGGAAATGCATTTAAAAGTATCCATTTTGGTTTCCCGGATGCTTACTGGTTTCGTGGAAAACGAATTCTCACTTGTGGAGAACAGTCCAATCACCATAAGGTTGAGAAGCAACTCAGTAATAGTAGTGATTCGTGGAGTAAAAACAGCGCAGAGGGCCAGCTGTGCCAAAATAGTGACCTTAACCTGATTCAAGAAATTTACGAATACGACATGTACCCATTTCTGAAAAGACTTTTTAAAAAAAACTTGCACACAGAATTCCCTGATGTTATAACCAAATCGGAGACATATTTTTCAGACGATACAGAAGAAATTGCTTACCACAGAAGAGAAAATATGCAAGTAGGAGAACAAATGGTTTTGTTCCACTCCTCCCATGAACATCGAAATGATATCTTGAACCAGTCCAAAGGGATCAACAGGAAAAAGAAGAAGAGGCATAAAAAAGGGAAAAAGGAAAAAAAGTCTGGTGGGATGACAAAAACGCATAAAACAGGAAATAATTCTAACACAGAACAGGATCAACATAAAAATGATATCAACATGCCTGCAGAAATAAATTACGTCTATAGCATAAAGAAGAAGGTGCTTCGCAACGTGCCCTTCGCAAACATGTTAAAGAAATATATTCAGTACAAATATCGTTCCAACGGATTGGTCAAGGTGGGACAAGATAGCAGATATCCTCGCCACCCTCAGGGCAAGACAAAAAGTCGCTTCACCCCTTTTTTGGAAAACCATTACGGGAAAAACAGCAAGAGGGGGGAAAAAAATAAGCACAAGGAACGCATTTACTTTATTAACAAAAAGGCCATTATCATTGTGGACCATTTAAAAAAGGAAACCTCTTATCTGGTCATCTCATATGTGGTAGAGGAAGGAACACCTCACGTGCTAAACTTTACGGAATATTTTGTCCCCCTGAAGGTACCTGTATATACTCGAAGTTTTATGGACACCCCTGAGGAGGGTGATGACTCCAAACAATACGAACAGATCGATGAGTACATTTCTCACAACTGGGATAAGCTGCATGGGAAAGATGACATTTGCTACTATAAGTATGGAGACAGCTGTATGGAATATTTAAAGAATCTCTTCCTAAGAACATGTAAAGGAGTCGTTCACCCTGATGGTGATGTGAATAAAAGGAGGGAAATCTTGCATTTGATGAACCCGAAAGACAGGAAGCGTCTCATACATGAACACCATAAGTGTATGCACGACAGACAAACAAATTTACCAGAAGGGGCACAAAATTGGAGTGAGGAGAATCACTACAAAATTGATCATTCACATGGAAGTGCAGGGACAAAATTGGGGGAGAACCATTTGTTGCAGTCGTATGCCCATTTGACTCACATGAAAGGCTTTCACTCTTTTAGCCGCTGTCTATTGCGCTTGTTTCAGATGTACAGTGGTCTCTTCCAGAGTGGGAACTTAAACGGCGAAGGGGATACTCCTGGGGATTCCGCGGGAAGAGACGATGACCCCACACAGGGGGTGCACGTTAGCAAAGACAGCAACGCTAGAAGCATCAGCAACGGTAGCAACTTCTCCGACCGCGCTCACCGCTTTGAATACATAGTTAGCACGTACGCAGGATCGGACGGCGGGTACCACTACTACCTCATCAGCTACAACAACCAGAACTACATTTTCGAGGTGAGTGCTAACGCATACATGTATGGCAGCCCATTCACGAACAATAAAAAAAACCCTGAAGATATGACAGAAGCAGAAAAGGCCATAATAAAAAATATGAAGAGATACATGAAGGAAGGAAACAACTTCTCCTTGTACATTGACCACGTACCTCCTCCAGAAGTTTATCACAAGGATTGTAACAAATTTAACACCATAAAATGGGCATTGATTCTCTTCTTCATACCGGCCTGGTTATTACTAAATGTGGTATACATTGTGTATGTCCACAGTGTGTGGAGACAGATGTTGAACCCATTGTATAGACTCATGTTGTCTCCATCCATCATTAGACTCGCATCATACATCATGCTGCTACTCTTCTGCATGCTTCAGTACCCTAACAATAATAGCCGCTATTTGGAGTATACCATTTTGTCCTATATGGCTCTTAACACCATGTTCAACACCATCTTTTATGGCAACCTCATTCTTATAAGTAAAGGGTACATGATAACAAGGGGACAATTTAGTAAAAGGGATAACCTATCCTTAACCCTAATTATTAGCAGTATATACATTCTAACATCCTTTAACCAGCTAAATGTGATTAATGATACTCCCATATTAATCTTTATCAATATAAGTTTGCTACTTGTACTTGTTATTAACATCCTATCGATTCAGAATTTTTTAAAGTGGAAGTTGTCCTTTGTCAGAAGTGTACGAATGATGGATTCCTGGGAAGAGTCACTCAAGATAAAATTGAGAATGTATAAAGTGTACCTACTCATCGTTGTTAGCTTCTTTACCTTGGAAATTTTATTGCACTTGCTAAAGGCCATGTTTAATTTTTTAACCGGAACTGTCATCCTAATCGAGTACGCCTTTGAGTTGATTATGTGGTGCTGCGTCTTGTATGTTTTTAGGTACCGGGGTAACGTCTTGTACTTTTCCCTCCTGTATGATAATGTGACATTTAATATAATGCCTCTTTACGTGGCCAAGACGAGCGACGATATGTTGGACACGATGAGCGACAAGCAGTGGACTATCACGGGGGCACATGTTCCCATTTTTATTTTAAACCCTTGGGAACACACCAACCAAAATTACCTCTCGCGAATGGCCGTGGGCTGGCCTCTCGTTGTGCACTACGGGAAGAGGTACCTCTGAGATGAGGGGTATAGAAGGCGAACTGTGGCGGGCCTATGAGGGAACTAATGCCTTCTCAAAATTAGCAATGATGATTACACACACCAAGGAAGAACGAGCAACCGAGAAGACGACTAGCACAGTGGCGTCGTGAAAAAATGTTTGAAAAAAATTTTTTTGGGTTGTGCTTTCCACTAGTAGGAAGCGAAATGCGCAATGGTTGATTTGGTAGAAGAGAGCAACGGCTTGTGCCACTTGGAGATTCCTTCAGTTGGATAGAACGGTATGACAAAATGGCTCATTTGTGAATGATCCAGGGGGGGCAAGCTACCCTTACGTGGAGGCATACACACCATGCCGTATTGATCGCCTTCATTGGGCAACCTGCTGTAACGTTGCGTGTGGGGGGAGTGGGGGAAAATGCCACATCGCTTCTCAATTTGACGTAACGAATGGTGAGCACTGTCTTTCGCTTCCCCCCACGCATTGCATTTTTAACATTTCATTAAAATGTTGTCCCCATTTTTTGCACCTTGTTTTTGTTCCTCCATTTGTTTTTAAGTATTAACCTCTCTTTTTTTTTTTTTTTTTTTTTTTATACGGCTGTGTGTGTATTTGTTCCCTGCCTATACGCTTAAGCTTTTTTAAGGTTTCATTTTTTCCCTGCTTTATGTAAGGAAAGTCAAATGAAATTTTGCCCCTTTTGAAACATTAACAGGTTTTTGTTTAATTTTTTTTTTTTTTTCTCTGTCAAACGGGTTTTGTTATTTGGGGAGGGATGGGAGGTTAAAAAAATGGCTGCCCATATGGGAACATGCACGCATGGACAAGTGCATGCATATTATATAAAAAAAAAGGCACTGCTCATGCGAAGCGCTGCTTTTTTCAGTGGGCACACCGCTACACCGCCCCTATGTGTGCATGTAGGTAGCCATATACACGACATCCTCTTTTTTGACGATACATGCGTCCTCGAACCTGCTCGAATATGCTATGGGCACGTCTTTTGTGCACAAACGGACGGGTGGCCTCTCCAAGAAAGAGGAAAATTTCTCAACCACTTGCGTATACAGCTCAGCACCAATACCCCCAAACCCAGCTGACTCATCGAGAATTAAACACTTCCTTGTCTTCTTTAAAGAATTCCCTACTGTCTCTAAATCGAATGGTTTTAATGAGATCAAGTCAATTACCTCAACCTGGATGTTAATATTGGCCAGTTCTTTTGCAGCCTCCACTGCGATATGTCTTGTAATTCCATAACATAAAATGGTGAGATGGTTTCCTCTTCTTACAACTTCAGCCCTGTCTATCGGTAAGGTGTATGGTAGGAGTGGTATTTCTTCCTCAACATTATATAGTAACACATGCTCCAGGAATAAAACAGGGTTGTTGTCTCGTATGGCCGATTTTAACAACCCTCTAGCATTAAATGGAGTAGAGCAAGACACGATTTTAATCCCGGGTACACTCATCAAATATGATTCAATTCTTTGTGAGTGTTCTGGTCCTAACTGCTTTCCAATCCCTCCTGGTCCTCTAATCACAATAGGAATGTTGAATTGACCATCACACATATATCGCATCATGCATGCATTATTAGAAATTTGGTTAAAGGCTAAAATTAAAAATGACAAATTCATGCCTTCTACTATGGGTCTCAGTCCATTTATGCTCGATCCTATCCCTAACCCCATGAAGGAGTTTTCACATATTGGTGTGTCTAACACTCTGGCGAATCCAAAAAAGTGGGCCAAGTTTTTTGTTACCTTATATGATCCTCCATACAGACCTACATCTTCTCCCAACACGTACACATTTTTGTCTCTTTTCATTTCTTCGTACGTGGCCATATGTAGCGCTTCACTTATGTTTCTTTTTGCCTTAACGTTTTTCAGTTCATTTTTGTAATTCCCTTCGTTTATTGTCGCTAGGTTGTCTTCTTTTCCCACTAGAACTGTCCTGTTTGTGCTCATATACTCCTTGATCTGACTTCTTGCCCCTCCGAGTGGGGTGTTTTTGCTTCCTATGAAGCTCATGAGTTTTATTGGTTCCTTCCTGCTTTGGCCTGACCAGGTCAGACAAATTCCCAGCCACAGGAAAAACATCACCACCTTGTTCATATTATCCGTCCTCTCTACTAATCATATGAAAAGTTCGGAAGCACACCGTGATGTGCTCCTCTCCAGGGTGAACCCTTTGCACACCTACGTACACACAGTGGTGTATTGGCACCTCCACGTGTATCCCTATTCAAGATCACCCCAATGATCAAGCCAACTGAGAACCACTTACAAATTTCAATGAGTAAGGCAAAGTGGGCAACGCAACTCCAAATGCGTTATGTAAAAAAAATATATATATGTATATGTACACAGATCTACAACATTGTGCGCATTGAATTAACAACCAACATGTTGCATCTCACAAAAGGGCTAACAAGAAATGGTACTATTCGTCCCTTTTCAGTTATCGAAATATGCCACTTGAAAAAAAAAAAAAAAAAAATTTTTACGGAAATACACCCCGCCGTTGCATGGTTTGTCCCCTGAACAATTCTCCCACTGTGCACGTCGCTTTCACGTATTTCCACAATGACAGGGTAAGCAAAATTAGTGTGCCTTTTTATGTTCGTTCCAATGGGTTACTACCAACAAGCTAGTCATTTTCTCTTCCGTTGTTCAGTCATTTGTTTTGTAATCGGCTAGGTATTTGTGGGGCACATATAAAGTTGCAGCTACGCAGGGGGTACACACAAAAAAAAATAATAAAATAATATAAAAACGGTTGAACAAGTGTTGTAATATATATATATATTGCCGTCCTTTTTTTTTTTTTTTTTTTTTTTGTTATACTATAGGTGCACGCAACTATTTGCAAAAGGTCTTGCGCCTATTTTCCACTTGGAGAATAAGCAGCCACGTGAAAAAGGTCTATACGTCTACTAACCTGGTGCAGAGCTGCAGTAGTACAAATGGCCCACAGAATTGGTCAACAACACTTACACACAAATGGGGCGCATGCTTGCACAGCTTCCCTTCTACATGCTTCATCGGCAAGAAAAAAGGGGCCACACAAGGAGAAGCCCTCATCTCTTATAAAGACCATTTTGGGGTCCCATTTTATGCTTGGTTCCCACAGAAATGGAACAGAAATATGCTCGAAGGAGAAGAAGACCTTAACTTTCTACTATACACATTGACGGTAAATACCTAAAGGGACACTTAACATGTAAACCAAATATATTCCAACCTGTTGTTCCCCATTTTTGCGCCCTGTCGGTGAAGCAGCAAAGGCGGCATTTGAGCACAAATTACCAATTCGTCATACAGAAAAAATATGATTGCGTGGAAGACCGGCGCCCCCATATTATATGACCATGTAACAGAACCGTTCATAAGATAAATGCCGTTCGAAAGGACCACTGTGGTGTGTCATTTTGCTTCACCTTAGTGCGCTGTACTTTTACAACGGACTGAAAAGATCAGCTTCCTAAACAGGAGAGAAGACACGGTTAGTAGCAGACCGACATTGCGCGATCGACTACTTGCACACACGGCGCATTCGCATTTGTCCGTATGTATTTTTGCTTTTACTCAGAACCGATGAGGCGTTTCTCATGGATTGGCGTCAATAAGGAGAACTTTCAGCATGTTCGCAGCGCGCTGTTTTTTCCGCTTTCATGGGAGACTCTCCATAGTAGGAGGGTTAAAAGGCAAGCTTGGAAAAAAAAAAAAAAAATTACATGATAAAACCTCCGAAGTAATTTTTTCCCCTCTATGCAGCACATTCCCGTTCTTAACCTTCGTGCGCATTTTTTTTTTTTTTTTTTTTGTTTCCCTTCCTTTTTGCAAGGGAACATAACTGTTGTGCCACCATTTGGGTACTCCCTACAAGGTGCAGTTACAGGTACATACATACGTACGTTTCCTGCGTGCGGGCATCGCCAGTGTGGGTATGCTACACCTTCATGAACAGCCACCCAGGAGTAGACCTCATTGTGATATTTTTGTTTTTTGTCGCCAAAATAAATTTATGTGCGCTTGGCTTAAAAATAAGAAAAAAAAAAAAAAAAAACACCTCCCATTGTGAACAGAACAAACTTGTGCTGCCCATATGCCTACGCGCGTATAAACATGCTTAACGTAATACACGTACGTACACATATTGTGTATGCTTTTTTTTTTTTTTTTTTTTTTTTTTTATCCCTTCACTGTGCGCTCCCACCATGCTCCTCCTTTTGCATGTGCATGGTACAACATTGCGGCGTTGCGGGGGAAACATGGAAGCTATGCTTGTGCGTAAGCCCGTTCATTCTGTGAAAAAATAATTCGGCTCACGTGGTTCGCAGCGAATAAATGGTACGCGCCCTTTTTTAAGGTTATATGAGCTGGGGGCTATTATATGTGCAGGGTATAATATATGCTCACATTTACATAGGCGCTTCGTATTGTAGTTCCGAGCTCTTCGAGTGCGTACAGGAAAAAATACACAAGTACCCCGGCGAGTTGCTTTTAAAGGATACGAAGTTTTATCTGTGCATAATGTCGTTTATTGCAAAATTATTGCCAAGCACAATTCGCTTTTTGCTTTTTTTTGTCACGTACTTGCCGTTCGCCTGTTCACCTGTTCCCTTGTGAATTTTTTTTTTTTCTCTCTCCCATAAATTGTTTTTCATTGGACGAACCATTTCGCAGTTTTGTATTTTTTTCTTATTTTTTTTTTTCCCCCTTTTTTTCCATTTATTCCTTTGCCATACCTGTAAACACATAGCACGCGCGAACGGTCATAGTACTACACGCCTGTTAAGCGTACTCCTCCAATGGCATATGGAATTGTAATTGTACATGCAAGCACAATCCTTGCTTATGTAAAAGAAAAATATGCTTGACTTGTATGTTTGTTTTTAACCCCTTTGTTTATTGTGGCTTACGCGCATGTTCCCTCACGCGTAACACCTTTTGCATTTTACCAACACGTTTTTTTTTTACTCTCATTTGTGTTTTTCCCCTTCAGTACATAGAGGTACGTACCACACGTACGTCCTTATGAATATACGACACTTGACAAGGGGAATTGAAATTAAATTTTGGGCAAGGTAGAACTTATCTTACCCATTTACTTTTCCAGAGTGAACATTAAATGGGGTGGGAAACTCAAAGAGGAGAAGTAAAATTTTGAACAAAGTTAAGTCCTGTTCTTTTTTTCTTTTTTTTTTTTTTTTTTATTTTGCCCAGTTTCCTCCTCCTCGGAGGATTATAGGCACAAGTGTTTCATGCCCGCCAACCCGTTTGAAACAACGTGTGTTTTGGCGTGATTGCTCTGTGTTGGGGAAAAGCGCACAGAGGAAGTGACCCTGTTGAAGTGTCGCAAGTGGAACGAGCGTAGTGCAGCATGTATATATTTGTGTGTAGCATTTTCCGTCCATTTGACTCAGACACTTTTATAACCTCTGGATGTTGTGTAAAAATTAGCAAAGCTCCAGTAGTTGCATTTACATGTGTGTGTCGTGTGTGTATTAATATGAAATGAGGGAACAACAAATAAAAAAAAAATAGGAAGGGAAAATAATTTTTAAGTAATGTCATGATTGTGTGTTAAGGGCGCCTCTTTTTTTTTTTTTTTTTTTCTTTCCCCCCCCGCGTGCCCCTCCTTTTTGACCATTACAAAATATAAGCAAGATCAGTGTTGTAAAGGAGATGGCGTCACACAGGAGAAAAAGGAAGAACTATGATGATCGGGGCGACCGCGATGGCCTGTACGATCGAGGTGACAGATACGAGCGGAGTGACCGGTACGACCGAAGTGACAGGCACGATAGGCAGGACAAGGAAATAATTTACGACCAAATATATTCCACGCCCAAGAAAAACAAGCCAAGGTGCATGGTTGTGTCAAACTATAAGGACAACCTGTTGAGCTACTTTCAGAGCATTATACATGTAGACAATGTGGGAATAAATTTTAGCAACAAATGGTACATACATTTTTACCGAGTCTGTTTGTATAATGAAAAGTTGTATGCAGGTGCGTCTGCGTCGACGGCCGATGGGGCAGCAGGTTCAGGCACTAATGCACAGAACAACACAAATGTAAGTAAAAAAAATATTGACAAACTGATCATCGAATACAATGTGGAGGAAGTCCTGCGGAAAGTACAAACATTAGTAGTTAGAAAATTGGATTGTGAAAATTTGTACTACCAAAAAATTTTGGTACTTGTGTGTCTCCTTTTTGACTTTTTTCAAAATAAAAAACATGTGAATGTAAAGACTCTGAGGAATTTGGAAGGAGAGGAAGAGGAGGATGAGGGTGGGGAAGGGCGTGATCAATTAGCTAGTCACCGCGCTGAAGGGGACCACACAACAAATGGAAAAAAAAATTCTCGCGTGAAAGAGTCCAAGAAGAGGTCAAGAACCATATCCGTAGCTGCAAGCTCCTCTAATTACGGAGATGATGATTATGATGATATAACAAACCATCGGAGGGGCAGCAGCAAATATGAACCAGAAAATGAAGTAGACATGAAAAAGAAAAAACACTTGAGACAAAAAAATTTTCAAAATGAAGGTCAAAAAAATTACTATATCATTGAATTTAAAAATTTACTTTTTAATGAAAAAAAAAAGTTTAATAATATTGAAATATTTTATCACATTACCAACTTAATTATACACAAGTATTGGTACTCCTCTGAATTTGCGCGATACAACATTTTTGTTTGGTTTTTAAATTACCTGAATAATAAATTAGAGATTAAGAAAAGTATTAACAAGATAAATGAACAGCTGGAAATGTTCATCAATATACACCCGAAAATTTTTAATATTTCCCATGCAAAGAAAAGGAGGAAGAAAAACACCCACCATATCAGTGCCAGCAATAGCAGTTATCATTTGGCTGGCGCAGCAGCGGGTTCTTCCATTTCCAATCACAATAGTGCCCATCATCATTTTGAAAATGGTGTGTTAGATTACCCGAATCTTAAAAATAGGAGTAGACAGCTCGGGGGGGGATTCTCTGATGCAACTAATATGGACAATAAAAATAAACCTGCAAATGTAGACAATATGAACAAGGTTAACACTTTTGGTAATTTCGTAAATTCTGCCAATGTGGGTAACTCAGGTGGTATTGGCAGCACCAGCTTTTTTGGTGCTCCCAGTAGCAGTGCTCCTCTTGGCGGCATGCAAATAGCCACCCCAAACGTTATTGCCTTGCCCGGCAACAACAGCATCACCAGTAATAGCAACAACAATAGCAATCCATTCAAAGGGTTTAACCAAAGCAATAACATATTTAGTAGCAGCAAAGGTAATGAAAGCAGCTTATTCAGGAAGAGCACCAATAGCACCTCTGCGGCCACGTCTCTCTTTGGAGGTTCCCTAACCAGTAATTCGATCATGCAACCCTCCGGTAATAGCACTCTGCCAAAATTCACGGGCGCCTTTTCTGGAGGTCTGAACGCACAAGATAACTCCAGCGCCACAGGCCCCAACCCTAGCGGTAACAACCCCCTCTCAGGGAACATATTTGGAATGAAGAGCAGCTTAATGAGCAATAACACATTTGGCGGTCAAAGCGGTGGTAATCTTGGCGGCCAAAGCAGCGGCCCCCTTGGCAACAGTCTTATGAACAATCTGCCCAATCAAACGACCAACCTTTTTGATTCAAAAAATAATTCCTCATCGGAAACGTCAAACCTTAACCTGTCCTCCAGCAGTAACAACCGCATCTTTGGTTTCGAGAAAAGTGCGCAAGGCACTTCCCTCTTTGCAAATGCCAATGGGAAAAACCAAAGTAAAGGTCTTTTTCCCTTTGGCAATAATAATCAAGCTGCGAACCCAGACAAGGACAAAATGCAGTTGGGTTCCTCATCCGCGGGTAACCCTGTGTCAATTTTTGGCCAGAAGAGTAAAGGAGAATCAACCTTTTCACTCATGCCAGGGGGTAGTACCGCGAGTAGCAGTATTGGAGGGGTTAGCGGTACGAGCACCCTTGGCGCGGGTAGCGCCTTGGGTACCTTTGGGGGGTTCGGAGGGGGAACCGGAGCAAGTGGTGCAAGTGGAGGGAGCCTCATGAACAACAGCGCAGGTGTGTCGTTGAAGCCGAACTCCGTTTTTCAGAGCAACCTTGGTGCTCAGAAGGAGGGATTTTTTGGGAGCGCCAAGCCGAACGAAAATATTTTTGGCACGAGCAGTGCGGGCGCAACGTCATCACAGACCAACATTTTTGGAATGCAGAATAGCAGCGCTACCAACCATAGTCCGTTTAGCAAGACGGCCAACACCGCTGGCGGTGGTGTCTTGGGTAATGTTAGTGGCAATATCAGCGGAGGTATCGGCAGCAGCATTAGTGGAGGTATCAACGGCAACATTAGCGGAAGCCTGGGGCTGAATAACCCCCCCAGTGGCGCGAGCGGCTCCATCAGCTTCGGCTCAAGTCTGTCCCCAAACCAAGGCGCGAACATGGGCATGGGGAATAATTTGTCACAGATCAAACCAAGTGAGTCACACTTTCAACCGATGAGTACTCCCACAAGTGCGAACAATTTGGCGAATCTGTTTAACAGCGAAAATGGATCCAAGGAGTTATTCAAAGATTTGAAATTGTCTACGGACACGGGACAAAAGTTCAGTGTAAATAAAAAACCACTTTTCTCGAAAAGGGTTAAGAACAACACACTCTTAACGCCGAATAATAACACAACTGAGGAAAATAATATTTTCAGTTCCAATTATGTGAATAAAGACAGCTTATTGATTAACCAGGACAAACCCGTGAAGGTTATATTTGGACAAAACAAAAGTAGCAGTGCGATGGATGCTTCCGCAGTTGGAGGTGCGGCTGCTGCACCCAGTTTGGGAAGCACAAACCTATTTGGAAGTTCCATCGGCGGAAATAACATTAGCGGAAGTGCAACTGGTAGCGCTGCCGGGCTGGGCCTAAGTGGGGGCATAAATGATAATGCTAATAACAACCAAGACAAGGCTAATAATAATAACCTCCTTACCCAAAGCAGCAATCAAATGGGAAGTAAAATTACTTTCAATGCAGCATCGAGTACGATAGGGCAGAGCAATAGTGCCACCACATTTGGGAAGAGCACCAGCAATAATCTGTTCGGAAGTAGTAGCAATGATCAATTCCAAAGCGGCACGAATAATCTCTTTGGAAATAATCAGACCAATGAAAATACAAACAGTAATGGTACCTCATCCACATGGAACCCTTTTTTCACCTCCCCTTATGGAAACAAAAATGATACTCAGAATAACAACGCCAGTTTGAGTATTCCTGTGAAGAAATTAACACTAGAAGAGAGGAAAAAGAAAACGGCCAAAAGTAATATGCTCTCTTTATTTTCGAATAATAACATGGGGGCCACTGATACAAATAATGCGAATGATACTTCTTTGGGTACGTCCATGTCAAATGGTCTGCTTGGGAATAAAGATTCGAGTAGCGTCAACACGTTCAGTTTTAACAACACATCAATGGATAACGTCTCCAAGGAAGGCACCACCGCTGCCCCCACCGCCGCTAAAGATGCACCCAGCGGTACTTTCCTTTTTGGCCAAAATAGAGACACCGCCAGTAGCAGTATCACACTTGGTACTTCGCAAACACCTTGGGGTGAGAAAAAAACATCCATCTTCGGCTCCGCCACTTCCGCTTCGAACACAGTGAGTGGTGCCGTCGAGGACGGTTCGAATAAGGAGGGAAAAGGAGACACCACCTCACCGAACACCATTAGTAGTAGTAACCCTAATGAAAAAAGTGCCTTACAGGGTGGTATGAAAAGCAGCTTATTCTCATTCGGCTTAAATAAGACTGGTGAAAATAACAGCGCAGAAACAGAAAAGGAAAAACCCAAAAGTGGAATATTCGGTTTTGGAAGTATAAATGTTAAGGCAGAGGAAAAAGAGCACACAAAAGGGGAGGATAAAAATGAAGTGTCGGAGAAGGACAAAAGTAGTGAAGAAAATGTATTAAAGAAAAATGAAAAAGAGAACGTTCAAATTTTTGGAAGTGCATTTTTATCCAGCATAAATGGACAAAATAAAGATGCAAATGTGAAAGGAGCTGACTCTGTTCCTTCCCCTTTTGGCTTTGGCAATACAAACATGGAAGAAAATAAAACGAGCTCATCTGCCTTCATGTTTCAATCGAATAAAGAAGACAGAAGTGCGACTCCCATTTTTGGTCTTCCCAGCAAGTCGTCGTCCTCCTTTAACGAATTGCAGACGAGTGAAGAGCAAAAGAAAATTCCAATTTTTTCCATCGGTGGGGATACGAAGCAGATGGATGTTGCCACCCCTCAATCGGACACCTCCAATGTGTTTAAGTTTAGCGCCACCGGGGTTGACACGGATGGTAGCGCACTTGGTGTGAAGGCGGGAGTTGGACTACGCAGCGATAACATAAACTACGACGATGTGAAGAATAGAAAGAGGAGGAGGAACGTAGATATGGACGACCAGGACGAAACCGCTGGAGGGGCCAAGTCCAAGGGGAGAGATTCCATAGATGAGACAAATGACTGGGGGGGTGATTATTTGAGGAGGAAAGGACATGGTGGAAACCATTTGCGTGATGAAATAAATGAAGATAGCTTGATCTTCAAAAAGAGCAAATTGGGCAGCGCCCTAACTGACACCAAAAATATTTTAAACACATTAAAATTTGATAATATTCCAAGTAAAGATATTCTAAGTGCATCTCTTAACGAAACGAGTATAAGTGCCCGTGAGAACAACTTAATCGAGGGGGGGGTTCTGAACAATAATGCTTCATTATGGGATAGCAAAGAGGTGGGGGGAAGTCCGACAAAGAATAAAAGTGAAAGTGGTATGCAGTCCAGTGGAATTTTCTCCCCCAAAGGAGATACCAACCAATTTGGCCTTGGAAATTCGCTAAGCAATCAGCTAACAGCAGAGACGAACAACACAAGTGGAGGATCAGGACAGTTGAAGCATCATAGTGGACAGAACCATATTAACATGGATGACTCGAATTTTCCTTTTGTCACTCGAGAGGGGAATAACTTGTTAGATGACCACGCGAAGAGATTAGCGAAACAGAAGGAAGAAGAAATGAACAAGCTAGAAAGATTAAAAATGAATAACTACCTAGTGCCTGAGAAAAACGAAAATGACGTTGGAAGCAGTGATGAGGATGAGGATGCAAAGGCATTGAAGGATGCTAAGAAAGAGCACATGGTGACAGACAAAAAAAGCGTAGAACGAATTGTAGCTTATAATAAAAAAATATCATTTGACGATATAGAAGTTGATTTAGATAAAGACATTATCGACTTGAATGATTTGCGACAAAACTTATTTTTGTGTGTTTTAAATTTTCATTTGAATTACTGGGCAGAGAAAGTTATCCTCTTCTATCCACACAACGAAAAAATTAATAAATTCTGTAACCGCCTTATGAAAATAAAAAACGAATTTGATGAAACGTATAATTTTAATTTATTTGAAGAAATACATGTATTATCTAAAAAACTGTTGAAGAGGCTAGACCGTAATTGCTGTATATACGAAAGTGTGTTGTTCCTTTCGGCTGAAAATATATATGTCCTGAAAAATGCCAAGCTGTCTCTGTTCGAAGCTTTCAATATATATCACTTTTGGTTTCAAAAAAATAGCCTCGATGTGAAAAAAAACTTTCAAAATTTTATGTACACTAATAAAATTTATCCCTCCTACCTTAACTACTACATGAACCTTTATAAAAATTACAAGTCCTTTAATTATAAGTACACGCAAGGGAGTGGCGAGATGGAAGGAAAAGGCAAGGGGAGTGGTAAGAAGAAGCAAGGCGATCAGGACGGAGACAGTTTAAACAATTCGATTGAGCTGGAGAGGGACAGTGCGAGCAATTTGACGGACCAGGAGGAGCCCAACCGTAGTGCCGACTCGTCAGGCAGTTCGGGTGACCACCGGGATGGTGACCCGTATAGCCAGGGGGAACCGGACAGTGAAAGAAGCGACGTGGGAAGTGAACGCGGAAGTAGTGCTCGAAGTAGTGCTCGAAGTAGTCGCGCAAGTAGTCGTGGAAGTAGTCCTAGAAGCAGCCGCAGAAGCAGCCGCGGAAGTAGTCCCCGAAGCGATCGTGAGAGGCGCGCGAAAAGGATGGGCAGGGGCAAGGGCAGGAAGAGGAGCACCGAGCGCAAGGAGAACAGCTTGATAGAGATCCTCAACTCGAACAGCAGCGAAGTGTCAGACGTGATGGACAACAGCAACAAAGAAGAGCCCCTCAACATGCACTTCAAGGAAAAGTACCTCTACCTGTCCAAGGGAAAGGCCAGAAAAAACAAATTATTCATCCCCTCACATATTAGGGTTAAAAAACTCAGTGCATGTGAGTGCATACTATTGGAACTAATCCTCAAGAGAGACATATTGAGCGTTTTAAAAAAATACAAAATTCTTAAAACAGAAAAATATGAATACCTCTACGTTAACCTCATAGCAATGTTGAAGCATTATAATTATTTTTCCTTAGAGAAGGAGAATGAAATAAGTAAAAGTTCAACTTCCACCAGTGCAACGGTGAGTGGAGGTAATGAGGGGGAAGGCGGTGGCAATACATCTCCTAGCGCATTTGGACAAAACAAAAACAACCCCCAGTTGAAGAAGCTAAGCAATCACCTCAACACAAATTGCGTGAATACAAAAAACGATAAAATTAATATCCTGAAAAAGATATGTGATCGAAATTTACTCTACTATATAAATATGCAGTTAAAAAATATTACCCATTTGATAAGCCTAAACGAAATGGAAATCGCTTGTGTGTATTTGAATCACATTAAAAATAATTTGTACGTCATGTTCCAGATGCCTATTCTGCTCTACAACACTCTATTCGATAGAATCATTAACTCCTACAATGATTATATTATAATGGAAAATTTTTTCAACAACTCTTGTTTGTATAATGACTTTCGCTATGAAAATATTTTCAAGACGAAGGTTGCATATATGCTGATGAAGAAATTTTTTCAGGCGGACGATACAGAGAATTGTATTCGATTCGCCCTGTACTTTGAGAATATTCGAACCAAGGCTCCTCGAAATAATATTTATAACGATTATATTTTTCATAAGAATTTGTTAAGTGCCTACATCAAGGTGCATGAAGACATCGTGCCAGAGGAGTGGATTCAGGCCCAGACTTCTAACAACAGCGAACTCAGTGACCTCCATGATTCAGAATACCTCGACTACTACTCCTTTTTCTTCAAGGACATTTCCAAGTATATAAAGTTTAATATAATGCAGAAGATTGTCTCCTGCAACATATTCAGCCTGCGCAAGAGGGACTACACGTACGCGGACGAGGGCTGCTCCCTTGCGGGAAGCTTTATGGTTGGTGGTGTCACTGGCGGTGTGGCAGGCGGCCAGGCAAGTGACATAACCAGCGGAACGAACATCCCCACCGGGGATACTACCACTACCTCCCCCAATACCTTCGAAGATAATTTCGCGTGCTACTTCGTGTACATGGTGAACCGTTCCATTTTGGATGACCTCGTCAATCTGTATGCCTCCAAGGGAGACTACTTCTACAAGAGAATTTCAGCCACACTTATCAACAGCTCACTTGTAAAGGAATACGAAAAGACGCACAACAAACATTTCCACATGCACGTGCAGGTAGCAAATATAAACCACTTTATGAAAACCAACTTTTTTGAATATATAAATTTTTTCAAAAAAAAAGAACTTTACCACATAGATAAGACAAAAAATGAAGATGAAATTATGCAAAACTTAGTTAACGTTATAAAAGGAAATGGAAAAAAAATTATTGTAGTGATTAACATGCTTGTCGAAATTATTACCAAAATGGAAAAAAAAATTTTGAAAAATGTAAATATCTTTATTACCATAAATTTGAGGAACTTAATCATTGACACATTTTATCTCTTCAAGTACATTTTCAACAATAAAGAGTTTTCCCTGCACTTGGTGGAAGACATGTACAGGAATGCCGTAATTTTTAACGACCTCATCAACTCCACCTTCTCGGACGATGTCCATTATTACCCCAAGGAACAAATAAAGGAGCTTTACACTTACATCCGTCACAAGTTTACCAACCAAAATTTGATCGCCTGAGTTTGCCTCCTTCACAGCGAAGCAGAGGAATCACTTTGAACTTATTTACGCTATAACCGTGGTGTGCATACAAAAAATGCGCGTGTTTTTTTGCCCTCCTCTTCTACCTTGTTCTCATCACTTCTCAATTTCCCTTTCCCTTTTTTTTTTTTTTTATGTTAGCATCTCATCAAACTTTTTTTTATATCATTTTTTTTTTTTTTTTTTTTTTAAATTATCGAAACTTTATTAAAAGGGTGTGCGCCCCATTTCTCCCCCGCAACAATGCACAAATTGCCTCGACGTCTGGCGTGCCCACGTGCACATACAACACACACACACGCGTCGCACTGTCGAGCGGACAAAGGATCGCACAATGGAACGATGGAACGATCGAACGCTCGATTATGTACATTTGTATAACTTGTTAAATTCTGGCATCGGCAATGCCCCACAAAAAAAAAAGAAGCAAAAAAAAAAATATATAAATAAAAAAAAGGCAGCACATTTTCGCAGTGAACGCTTTGTTCGAAGGGCGCACACTTCAAGTGTACCTTTTTGCACTCCTACAGAATGGAAAAAATATGCCATAGAAGGGAGGCAGGAGAGGAGGTGCGCTCAAAACACACGCACTTACTCATACAATTACATAACACACCCCTGTCAACCTCGACCCTTGGACATCTCCCTTCGTAAACCCAAATGGCATTTAATTTAAACATATACACTTTGGTACTGGCTTCCAACCGCCAGGCAGTCGTCATCCTGCTTCAATATCATCATACGGACGTAGACACATCATAACAGTACCTTCACAAAAGCGGTTAGGAAATATTTCTCCATCGTAAAATGGATATGCACACATGGCGGACGTGTAGTGGAGCTAATCCACATCGTCTCATATGTTGCCAAAGTGGCTGAAGGGCTAATCTGAAAAGTCCATTTTCAGTGGAATCAATTTGCTGCTCAGATGGGGAACGTCCAATTTTATGCGGTTGTATATATGTGCGCATCTTTTGGTGGCTACCCCTCATAGACGACACGTGTCTTCCCCCCCTCCCCAGGGGTTCGTCACAAGAAGCTCTTCTTCGTCATTATGGTGTAAAAATCTTCAAATGAAATTTCCCCTTCGCCCTTCGAATCTGCACGATCAATCATATCCCGCAGCTCCTCATCGGTTAAAGTTTCCCCTAACTCCTTTGCAACTCTTTTTAAATTCTTCAGTGATATTGCCCCCGTTTTGTCATCATCGAAGAGATTGAAAATTCTTTGGATGCCTTCCCGCGTGTCTTTATTTCCCTATTTAAGTGAGTGGAGCAACAAATTCGGTGAGTGCGTCTCGTGTGATGAAGAGGAGAATGGCCAGGACCACGCTTTATACATACATGTGAGTACGCGCAGGCGCGGTGGTGTAGATGCAGGACTAACCAGCTTGGACGTTATGACCTCCATAAACTCCTCGAAGTCAATGGAGGAATATCCGTCTTTCTCCAGGTCGGCTATCATCCTGAATATCATTGGGTTCTTAACGTCTAACCCTAGGCTCTGCATGGCGCACTTTATTTCCTTCGGGTCGATGGTGCCTGGAGGGGAAATAAAAAACAGAAAGCTTAAATGAGTGTGCAAGCATGTGGCCCCATATTACACAAAATGGGCCACAGGTGTTGACACGAAAAAAAAAAAAAATCAATAGAACTGCTTCAACCGGTTCATATGTCCTCTTTTTTTTTTTATCCTTTTTCGAACCTGTTCCATCAGTATCTAACAAATTAAACGCTTCCCTTATTTCCTCAATTTCATCTTCAGTGAAGCCTGGGCGTTCTGTGAAGCTCTTTTCATACCTCCTCCTAATTGCTGTATTTTCTGTCATTAGCTTATATGCTCTGGGCGACGTTAAAGTAAAATATTTTGAAGACTTCTTGTTTTTTTTTTTCCCTTGTTTTTCACTTTAGTGATATTCGCCGCCTTTGTTTCGAATGCAATCACTCCTGGTGAAGGAACAAGAGAGCTGTAAGCTTATGTACACCGGAGTCAAGCGAAGATGGGCATGTTTCGCAATAATATTACTTGTACTTATACGTACACGCGCAGATTCCCTCGCATTTGTTTTTAACTTTTTTTTTCCTTTTTTCCTTTTTTTTTTTTTTTTTTTTTGTTTCACCTTTATGTATAAATACTCGTGGGAAAAAGTGAAACCTCTTAATTTTAAATCATTTGTTTTTTCACCCCCGTGATTAGAAGAAGCGTATATTTAATTTACACTTCCTGCCTGGCAAAGATGGTTAAATTTACATGTGTACGTTTGGACTTTAGCGCGCGAGTGTGGAAATCAATGCGCAGTGTGTTGTGATACGCAGTATGTCATGTGTTTTTTTTTTTTTTTTTTTTTTTTTTTTTTTTTTTTTTTTTTTTTTT